TGTAAACCCTTAGCTTCATTGCAAACTTAAGCTACAGTCTTTGGAGTTGCATTGTAAGACAAAAATGGTCATTTGGTCATCCTTCTCTATAGAGGTTATGCATTTTTGCACTTGACAAATTTTGGTTTGAAAGAACTGAATTTGTGCAATTCATCTGAGTCTCAAATAATGTGGACGGGTTAGTATTACTTTGTCCCCTTACACTATCATATTGATTTCATTTTGTACACTCAACAATTGATTTGAACACGCTGTACATTCAAATTTTTGAACTCGTGACAATTTACATGCGTTACTAACATTTATATGGAAATAATCTTTGCGAAACAAGATGACATTACTGGGAGCCTATAATCAATTAGGATAAATTACAATTTGATCCTTCAACTATGTCCCTACTTCACATTGTTTCTCCACTATCACGTGTATCACTTAAATTGTTTCCTAAACTATTATAGTTATCACTTTGCACCTTCAATTGTAGTTATTGATTTCGCGATGCCGCAATTATGAACCCTAGAAGTGTGCATTTTAGTATACATTTGGGCTTTTTTTTCCTTTCTAAATATGTCAGTTGTTTGGTTTGTGGGTAATGTGAAACAAATTCAAGTGGTTTAAGGGGCAACCCTGAAAAACTTAATAGTTAAAAGGGCAAAATGAGATTGCACCATGGTTGATGGGGGNTGGGTAATGTGAAACAAATTCAAGTGGTTTAAGGGGCAACCTGAAAAACTTAATAGTTAAAAGGGCAAAATGAGATTGCACCATGGTTGATGGGGGTGAAAACATAGTTTATCCAATCAATTATCGATATGATTACTAGCGTAGCTTGCCTAGTGTTCTTCTTGTTAATGTTTGCAAATGTTTTGGATTAAATTTGTTTCATAACCGGATCCATCAGCCCCCTAAACAAGGACTTATCTACCTTATAGCATGAGGGGGCAACTGCCCCTCTCATCTTTCAACAACACATGCATATTGTGTAAAAGGTGATGACTTTTTTAAAAAAATTAGTGTCATTGTCCCTTAAACCAATCAAAAAAAATTTATTTTATTCTTAGATTTTTTGAAATAAATATGATATTCTCAAACCATTAAATATGTTTATCAAATATAAAACATCTCTTTTGTTTAATACATTGTTTAGATTTGTTAAAATAATCATATAGTTGCTCTTTACTCTCTTTTTTTGGTAGCGGATTCATCGCTTGTAAGTGAGTAAAACACGAAGATATGCAAATTATACAATTTTTTTAACCCAATCCAAGAAGTGGTTTATTTATTTTTCAAAGATTAAATTTTGTAAACAAGATGTAAAATGATTTCAATTAGGCTTTGCAAAAAAAGAAATAGTGATAACTTTGTAACGACCTCTTTTATAGAAATTATTAAGGAACTTATAATAGAATCAATTATAGATTCTTTTTTTAGATTTTAATAAATTTTATGTTTTCCTTCGATGTACTGTTGATATTGGATTTTATTTGTCATAGAGTAATTCAATAATAAATCAAATAATATTTCTCGTGCTTAAATTTATACTAGAGAAATATTTCATGTACATTATGTTCCTGTTTGCTTTGTGAAGATGGTATGAGGTTTTGGATATTTTTTTTTTTTTTACATTCATTGATATGTGGTTAACAACGCTTGATTACTGGAGTGTGACTTTTTCATAGCAAGAGAAAAGTTTAATTGCTAACAAAAACTAAGGTTAACAGAAGTAAAACTGACGTTGATGTAACTATTGTGTCCAGATACTCGTTCACTTTATGGATATCACAAAAATGAGTAGCTTAGCCTAGTGTAACTCAGCCCTTGATAAATTTTTCACGAGGGTAGATCAGAGATCCGAATATTCCACGAAGCATGGCTCTTGAGGTCACCATTCAGAGATTTACCCCCTTGTGTTAAGAGACAATTTTGCACAAGATCCAACATTAATCGAGTACATGAGCTGGATAGTATTACGGTAATTTACCAAGATAACTGAGATATCAAAAAAAAACAAAAAAATTTTTTTTAAAATCTTCTTATGAAACCAAAGTTACAGCAATACTAGATAAAAAATATCGAAAAATTGGCATTTTTGCGTATAATACTAGTTAATCGTGTTATTCGTATTTGACACTAACACAACCCATGTATTATTTATGTTAGTAAGTCATGTCATTTTTGAGTTTTATGTCAAGAAATGATAATCCTCTAACTCCGTATCAGTTTTGAGTTATGTTTACGTGTCTGTAGTAGACACTAAAAAAAATTAGTTTATTGCTAAGCCCAAATCCAATTACATAAGGGGATTTGAAATTCGGTACAATTTTTTAGACTTATTTAGGCAAAAATACAACTCAAAAACTTATTTAGAATAAAGTGCATATTTTTTAAAAATGACACTATTGTCATTCATTGTACAGCAGATGGATGGAAACCCTTTTATATTCATTCTGTTTTTTTTTGCTACAATCAAGTAATGAGATATAAAATAGGGACATATTTTCTCTAACAGTTTTTCTCTCTCTCCTATTTTCTCTTACTATATTTATATTAAGATTATAACAACACAATTCTACTAATCAGTTACAATTGTCTTATAATACACCAAACAGTTATTCATGTGTTCTAATAAACCAAACAGTTATACAAAATTATGATACTAACCCAATTTATCATTCAGTTTATTTATATAAACTAAATAGTTGCACCATTTAGTATCGCAACATCGTTACACTATCATGTTTTAACAATTGCATGAGACTGTGATTGTTACACTCATTAAAAAAATAGTTACACTCATTAAAAAATAGTTACACCTATTAAAAAAATAATTACATTTATTAAAAAACAGTTACACCCATTAAAAAAAACAAAGAATTTTTTTTCTCCTACATCCCAACAACGAACAATATATAATATCTAATAAAACATCTTGACCAATTCTTTTTTTTTTTTTTTTTGAAAAATTTCAGAATTTGATTAATCAATCATCATAATAAATGACTTTATTTCTTTTGCTCAGATGATGTGGAAGCGAGGTTAGTGGTATATATATATATATATGTTTCACTTATACTTAGTACTCATACTCCTTCATCTTCATCTTCTAGAACGAAAACTTTTGCTTTTGCTCTCTGTAAACTCTTATTTTACCTCTCATTACTATTGTTAGTCTTTACATATTTGTTTCCTCAAATAATTGTCAATGATAACTACATAATTTAAGAAATGACGTTTAAGTAAAAAAGTTTTTAATTCATTTAAATTTTGCACCTAAACACAAAAATTTTATAAAAATTATACTTAATAGAGTAAATAACTTATCTATACACTTTTGCTCAAGTAAGTCTAAAAAATTGTACCCACACCCAAAAAATCCATTAAATAACTTCCTAAAATTAAAGTGGGTTGGACTTAAATTTCATAAACCCAAAATAAAACAAAATCAAAATGGACTTTCAAAATTAAATTTGTTTGGATCCAAATTTCATTGGTCTGAGTTGGACTTAAATTGCACAACTCAAATAATACAAGTCCAAATATAATTAATCAGGCTTTTTAAATTAAATTAAAACGGACTTAAATTTCATAGGCTCAAATTAAACAAACTTTTAAAAAGCAAAGTGGGTTGGAATTAAATTTTATAAATTAACTAAAACCCACAAAATTATGAGTAACCCACTATTTAAAGCCCACATAAGGGTATTCAATTAAAATATTCTTATATGAATAATTATACCTAGCACTATAAATAGAGGTCTGGGGAGGTCAAAAAGAAGAAGTCAAAAAGGAGGCCAATAAGAGAAGCCAAGGATGAGAGAAGATCAAGAAGCTCTGGTTGAGTCCATTTTAGGGGAAAAAAGGAAGATCAACAGCGTAGCTCTCTTAGAGTCTACCCCTAATTAAAGTCTTACGTCTACCCCTAACTAAAGTCTTACAAATCCATCTCAAGAAAAAAAGAGCAAATCATCATTCTTCAAGAGATTCAAATCATCTTCAAGCTATTCAACATAAAGAACGGTGAGAAGATCCAACAAATTCAACAAATCAAAGATCGAAGAACAAGATTTACGTTAATCTGACCTTCATCTTCAATAAATCTACTAAATCAAAGATTGAAAAACAAGAATCATGTCAATCCGACTCTCGTTTTCAACAAATCTACCAACGTATCACCCAATCAAAGATTGAAGAATACGTTGGTCAAGTCATTATTTTCATCAAATCAAATATCGAGAAACACATTGATCAAGCTTTCGTCATCATTAAATTCACAAAAAATCAGAGGATCGGCAAGTGAGACGCACTCACCACTTTATTAACTTAAGTTAAATCATAAATAATTATAATTTTGACATTACTTTTATATTATATTACATCGCAAAATTTTGTTGTTACAGTGTCTATGAGAAATTGGCAGCCTAAGACAAAAAGATTCCTAATTATGGGGATAGAATAGCACCTACCTTTTGTTTTTGTTTGTGATCAGGAATGTGCTACTTCTTCGTTTCATTAATCAGGATTACGATTACGATTACAATTGAAAATTAAGATAGTCCTAAACCTAATACCTTATCCCAACCCTAATACAAATTTATTATACGAAGAATATGATTAAATAATACTCTTATTAATATCATTTATATAAATTAAATAAAAATTAATTATCTAATCTCATCCTTTGTTTGTACCGAAACTAAACATGTCCTAATTTTCTGTTCCTAATTTTCTCTGCAACGTCTTTCACTTTTCCGTGGTTGATTTTGGGGCTACTCCGAATAAACCCGGGCCGGGTGTACACTATTAACCGGACCACTTAATTTCCGTATATGGGCCCACCTTAAGCTGACTAGTCAGAAGCTCAGAATCGCTGAATTGGGCAGTCGGTGTTTGGCGAGAAAGTTGTGACGATCTGTTTTCGTAATTTTCAGCTTCTCTTTTCTTCCCCATTTTGTCGGGAAAAAACCTACGATCTCTTCCGGGGAAGAACCATCCAAACCCTCATGACTTCAGGTATTTCTCTTCAAAATCGCAGAAACACTCACATTTCCTTCAATAAAATGACAGAGGCCCCATTCAAACTCCTTTTTTTAAGTCTTCCATTCATAACACCATGGCTTTTTGTACGACATAGTATCATTAATTTTCATGAATTTCGTTGTTTTATTAGATTTCACAATCTGGCTATTGCTCATTTCTCAATATTTTCTGTTATTCTGTCTGGGTTTTTGTGGTGTAGAATTTAAAGGCAAATTTTTGTGGGGAAAATTTTGTTAATTTGAAGAATTCCTTAATTTATGGCGTCAGGGTTATGTTATTTTGGCTATTTGTTCTGAGTCATTGCCCACTTCTTGCAGATTATGCTTTAAAACTTTCGGCTGAGCTCGAATCAGTTTCGCGTGTAAGGGCCGCACAGTTCTTTGTAACACAAAGACCATGGCTTGGTACTATTCCTCTCATAGGCCATTCTTTTGCTGTACTTGGTTGTGATTTAGTTCTATATATGTTATTTGTATGACTTGTTGATAGTATGGTGTGGGTGTTCTATATTTTAGTATACCAATTCAAGTTATGGAAAGTAGTCTTTTTCTAGTCATTGCTATTTTTTTTTTATTCCAGATCTTTATGGGGTTAATGTTAGACCTGTTGCTCCTTTTGGGAGTGCAAGCAGTAAGCCATTTGTTGATCCTGCACTGATACACCGATGCTTGCCTGATGAGCTACTCTTTGAGGTATTGTTGTTCATTCTAAGCCCATTGGACTTTTGTCCTATTCGCTATTAGTATAATGTAGCATGGTGCACTTACTAAAGTCAATAGTTTTGCTTTATGCATTCGTCTTTAATTTTTACATTTTAAATTCCTCTACATATAACTTGCATGTTCTATCTAATGATTTTAATTTGACCAATATATTCAATAGGAATGTGCTCTGCTGCTTTTCTTAGATCTATGCCAATTTTTACTTTCACATAGATTTCAAAGTTTTAGCTAAGACTTTACAGGGACAAAGATGGCATGCCAAGAACATAGACAAGGTAGGATGGGTAATTGGTCAAATCTAGTATGGATTGTACATGAACGTCATGATGTTAAGTGAGCATTACCATTTATCAAAGTTTTTTGGTAAGTATCAAGTGGGGAGTTTAAACAATATTGTTCCAAATGCCAAGCGGTATGGTTTTTATTTGGACCAGATGGAATTGGGCAGGCACATTGATATCTGTCTGCTGATGTGAGATAAGCTAGTCCAGTACATGGTAGGGACTTCACTCTCGGCATATGTAGAAAGATTTTTGTAGAAAATAAGCAAAATTTGACATGCTATTGGCAAGCCTCATGTTATGAGGGAGAAAACAAGGAGGAGGTAGAAGGGGAAAGATTGAAAGGATACGGACAAAAATGAAGTAGAAGAAGGATGGACCTATGAAGAATTTACATTTCCTCTCTCACACCAAATGTGGAGCGAGTCAACTGATTTAATGAAGGTGTTTGGATGACATATCATTTCAATGACTGTAGATGGTAATGGAGGTTGGCCAATTTGTCAAGTTTGGTTTTCAACATCTTCCCTCGGCCTTTTGTTTCAAATCAAACTTTACCAATGGAGAATAGTCTTTTGTTTCAAATCAAACTTTACTGATGGATGAAACTTTTTGTTTTCTCCATCTAATGCCTATTTACAATCCCTTTTTCCACTTTTGGAGAATATTTCCTTCAGACTATTATGGTTCTTTGTTTACCCCTAAATTGTATGGTCTAATATCTTGAGCTCATGATGAGATAGATAGAACTAGATAGTCGAAAGAATTCATGTATATTCAACTTGGAAAGTTGGGATTTTAGATATTTATGGATTGTGCCTCTTGGCCTTTATTTTAGATAGTCATACTTCTGAGAAAGTGGGAAGCTGATCTTTGAATCTTATGAAGCATATTTTCGATTTGAAGCGCAATTTATTAATTTGAATAAGAAGTATAAGGGGTAGAAAATGATGTATATATTTGACATAAAGAGGTAATCTTTTAACAATTACAAGTTACATGGAGAATTATCAAGAAATTACTAGAATGGGTGGATCTGAAAGTTTTACATATATAAACACGAAGGTAAAGAGGAATCTAAAATGAACTTTTAAATATCATGCAAAGTTTGGAACCTTTGTGTTTGACTTGTTGATGCTTACTTGAACATGTGCAAGGTAGATAATCAGTGAACAATGTTGCTTGAATTACAGAAATCATGGGAGTGATATTTCATTTAAATTCTATTTCAATTCAACTTGAGAAAGCTTTTATCTCAATTCTCAACTATTTAGAGTCTTTGATAAAAAAAAAAAAACTATTTAGAGTTGGTTACACAATTTATTTTTCTCCATTTTTCTCTATCAATGATCATATTATCTATTAAACTATGAGCTATCATATTCTTTTTTACTACGTCAGATTAAATTTCAACTTTCCTCTACCTCTCGTGTGACCTCCAATCTGTATCAAAATAATCTTCCACACTAGTGCTTACTAAGTTTTCTGTATACATACCAATCCCCTAAGTTAATTCTCTCTTATTTATGTCCTATTTGTGTTATTTCTATAGTTTCACAAATTTGTACATTTGTAAACACTTAAATTTTGAGTATGTTGTTTCTTGATTGTCCAATATTTTGTATCGTAAAGCATTGTTGGTCTAATGACTTGTAGATTTTCCTTTCAATTTAAGAGATATATGTTGATCACACCAATGTTATTTAAGGTGTAAAGCAAACCAAAGCGACCAAGGCTCCTAAAGTCTAAGCGAGAAGCGAGAAGCAAAGGGAAACGCTTTACCAAAGCGAAGCGAACAGTTAAAAAAAAGTAAATATTTTAGTTTAATTACTTCTAAACATCTTAAGTTCTAATTTTATATATACTAAATATTTAAATGCAACTAAAATTGTAAATATTTAAATTAAAACAAACACTAATAATATCTCAAATCTTAATAAGAGTCATAACTTAAACATTGAAATTTAAACAAACACTAATAATATCCAAAATCCTAAAAAGTATTGTGTTATTGTTAAAGTATATCAACCACAGCTGTTTTTGTAAATCTATTTATATGTACAGTCGTGGGCTTGTACACGTATTGAATCACATTTCATAACAGAGTTGTAAACAATTGACTGATGTTCAAGCTTGGATCATCAAAACAAAGAGTGACTATATAACAAAACAGCAGAAGTAGAACAGCATTATCAGAACAGCAAAATCAGTACTATCAGAACAGCAGAAGTAGAACAGCAAAACAGCAGAAGCAGAAGCAAAAAAAAAAAAATANTCATATTGACTGATGTTCAAGCTTGGATCATCAAAACAAAGAGTGACTATATAACAAAACAGCAGAAGTAGAACAACATTATCATAACAGCAAAATCAGTACTATCAGAACAGCAGAAGTAGAACAGCAAAACAGCAGAAGCAGAAGCAAAAAAAAAAAAATAGAAGTAGAATCAGAAAACGAAAATAGAAGCATAATCAAAAAAAAAAACAGAAATAGAAAAAAAAATCTCAGCATCAAAAAATCAGCAGAAGCAGAAAAAAAAAAAAAAGAAGAACCAGAAGAGAGAAGAAGAATTAGAGCCAGAAGAGAGAAGAAGAGAAATAGAAGAGAGAAGAAAAAGAGAAGGAGACTAACTTGTGTGTCTGACTAGCAGTGGTCGTCGTCGTCTGTGTCCAGCGAGGAAGAAGCAGCAGAAGCCAGCAATCATGTCTGATCATTTTAGCAAAATTAGGGTTTGAAGGCTATATTTATGGGATAAAGGGATAATTCCGTGTATGGGCATCTTATAATTTTTTTTTCAATTGTCCAGTCCAACAATCCATAATAAAAATAAAACAATCCAAGACAACTTCGTCTTGTATGACTAAGGCGCTCGCTTTCTCGCCTTTCGCTTTTCTCGTTTTTTTCTCGCTTCAGTCACATTCGCTTTGCCTGGGGTGCTCAAGGCGAGAGACCCTCGCTTGGCTTCGCTTCTTGCCTAGGCGAGCTTTTCAAATCACTGGATCACACAATACATCAAATCTCTGATCTAATTTTTCATTACAATGCCGTATTTTGATGTTCTTAATTATTGTTCAGTTATATTGTGTTTTCTTATTTTCTTAGGGAGCATTCAACTTGCATTTTATCGAAAAATCCTTATTTGAAGTGATATTTCCTCTTCCTATTTGATAACTTTGCATATTGGATATTTATGCATAGATTTTCTCAAGAATGACCCCGTACGCTCTAGGGAGGGCAGCTTGTGTTTGTCGGAAATGGAGATATACGATCCGTAACCCTATGTTTTGGCGCAATGCATGCTTAAAGGCTTGGCAGGTAGGCTTACATTGGTTATGAACTTTTATCATTATACTTCAGTGGAATATATTTCGTCCTAAAAATATTAAAATTTGGACAATATTGTTGTAGTTCTCTGGTGTGGTGGAAAATTATAGGGCTTTGCATTTGAGATATGATGGTTCATGGAGGAAGATGTGGCTTTTAAGACCGAGGATCCGTACTGATGGTAAGTGTAACTTTGTACATCTAGTCTAAATGACTTCCAGAATAAGATGCATTTGCCTTAGTTTTGTAACTTGTTGATGTGGCTTACTTCTTATGCTGCTGGTTTTCTTCGGTTCAAATTCCGCATCTGTTTCACGTCTATTGACAATGTACTGCATATTTTAGATTCATCATAATATCTCGTAAGCTGAATAAGATATTTTTAGCTAATCCTTTGTTTTGATATTCAAGTAGTGTGTTTAAAATACTGAATCTTCAGTCATCCATCAGGTCTTTATGTCAGTAGGAACACCTATATTCGTGCCGGAGTAGCTGAGTGGAAGATTACCAATCCCGTTCATGTGGTATGCTTCTCTACATTTTCTGTTGCAACATGACATGTATACTAGGGTAAAATTCCTGTCTCCTGTAGGTATTGGATAAAGTCTACACTAAGGAGAAAGTTGGAATGATGTGATTCAGTTTGTGGCAGTGCAAGACATATAGAGCCTAAAGTCTTTATCTTCAATAGCAATAGTAGTTAAATAGATCTCATGAGTATAAACCTGACATCATGCTTTATAAACAAATTGTTAGGCCATTTGAATATGTGTGGTTAATTCAATGTTCATCTTCAAACCCAAAAAGAAAAAAATGAGGATCCATACATTCAACTAAAGTTTTGTGAATTATGAAAGGTAGTTTCCTTTGTGGCCCATAAGCATATGGTCTTCTGATAGTTCTTGGGCAGTTACAACAGCTCATCCAAATTAATTGCAATTTAGTCTTGTCATTCTACAACATATTAGCAGCCCTTGTAAATAGATTAAAACAACTTGCAAGATGGTAATTGCTGAAATTTTTCTTTCAATGGAGAATTCAATCTAATTTCTCCTTCTGGTTCATTAAAGGTATTGCATTTCAATTGTGTATTACAGCGTTTGCCTTATAGTGACTGTTGAGCATGACAGATTGTTTGCCAGACCACAATAATGTGGTCTTGAAGTCTTGAAGAGTATTAGTAGGATTGGCTTGTGAGATATGTTATCTAGTTCTTACTGTTGTATTCTTCGTCTTGCAGGTCTGCTATTTCCGCTACTTGANGTTCAATCTAATTTCTCCTTCTGGTTCATTAAAGGTATTGCATTTCAATTGTGTATTACAGTGTTTGCCTTATAGTGACTGTTGAGCATGACAGATTGTTTGCCAGACCACAATAATGTGGTCTTGAAGTCTTGAAGTGTATTAGTAGGATTGGCTTGTGAGATATGTTATCTAGTTCTTACTGTTGTATTCTTCGTCTTGCAGGTCTGCTATTTCCGCTACTTGAGATTTTATCCTTCTGGCAGATTTCTCTATAAGGTTATATATCCTGATTTAGTGCATTGACTGAACTAGAAGAGAAAATTAGTTTTGTTGGTATAGCTGATTTAAACCATGTTTCGTTTACCTGCAATGGTTAGAATTCATCACAAAAAGTGAAGGATGTGGCAAAATGCATGAATTTCCGTGCATCTAAAGTAGACTGTGTCTTCGGTGGGCACTACACATTGTCTGAGGACAAGGTCAGTTTCTTTTTCTCACCAGGTCTTCAACCATTTGAATTCCATAGTATGGCAGATTGGAATTCTCCCACGTGTTCAGTAATTCTGTTGACCAATATGGATGGTTTTGAATTTGTTAGTGAGTATCCCATCCAGCAAAGTGTTTGCCCCCTTTCATGCTCATTTTGTACTTTGCAGTTAGGAGGTATTTATATATTCCCCTCCATTTGCAGGTTGAAGCTGCACTTTTGTATCCTGGCTTGCGTCCAACTGTTTTGAGAATCCGCTTAAGGTATTCCATGTGTTGCCCTTAGTTGTCCTGTCGTTTAATATCTTGTGCTAGTATTGTATACAAAACTTCTCCGCTGTATTGGTGTGTGATACTCAGCCCTACTCAACAAAATATTATCCCAACTACTTGAGATCTGCTATTTGAATCTTGGACTCTTGGTTTGTAATTGTGCTCTATGAAGGGTGATTTCTTCCCAGTTAAATGACGCACACCATATCTGTTTTTGCTCTCATTTGAAGTTAATTTCAGTGTGCCTCTACCCCACTCATTACCGTCAATATATGTCACATCACTCGTTATTGCAGGTGCAACAATAGGTTAAGTATAACGGCTCTAAACTACCTAAGTGGACTCTTTTTAAATTTTATTTTTGCTACTTCTACTTTTTCATGGATATAATCATTACTTATTCTATCCTCCTAGTTTTACCAAATATCCATCTTAATATTCTCATTTTTAGCACACTTTAATTTTTAAGCGCACTGTTTCTTAATTATCCAACATTTAATACTATAAAGGATAACTGGTTTTATGGTTGTTTTCTGAAATTCGTCTTTCATTAAGTGAATGGACCAAGCAAGTATGAACCATGATTACTGCCCCTAAGGTCTCCTTAAACTTGGCCCTGAGGGAGTCATGGTTGTTTTCATAGCTATTATCATCTTCGATCTCTGTAATCTTCATCAGGTGCCTTTTGATGGTTATGAATCGATACTGAGATGGTGCACACAGTAACTCCTGTGTGTGTGCATGTATCCGGATATGAATATATATATGCATCTGACGATTCATTAGTGTTAGAGCACCATTGAGCGTTAACAACTAGTCATAACATGTTTAAATTAATTTTGGTTCATGTTAGATGGATATTTTGACAAGTACTGTTGTCATCGTTGTTTAATACATTTGACACAGTTGAACTCACTTTTCTCATTTCGTCTATTAGTTCCAACTGTTTCGTATTCCAACCATTTTGTGGGTTCTATGTTTGCTAAAGGTTGAGGGGGACAACAGCAGGAGCTAACAATCGGATGGATCTACACTCACTTGTTACGAGTGGTGTGAATGATAACGAGGCTAATGGCCCTGATGAGGACATTCTTGGAGTAGTTGGAGGGTGGCAGGAGGACGAAACTCACAACCCAGATGTTCCTGCTATTTCACACAAGAGGGGTCTAACACCTTTTGTCTTTATTCCATTCGAGGAGGTAAATTTTGTTTTATCTAGGTTTTGATTTGCACTGAAACACTGATAAAATGCTTTGATGTGTTCTACTTGTTTATATAATCATTAATTGTTGAACTTGAATGTTGTATTCTACTGATGTTGTTACGTTCAGTAAATGTAAAATGAAGCTACCAGTAGCTTTGACGTATCCAGAATCTTCTGAGTTGTCGGCTTATGAGCTGAAAAGACGGCTTTGTAGTTTTTTTTATGTTAAATAAATTATGAGCAGAAATTTCCTAACTTCTGAATTTGTTTTTCATTGATAATTTCAGAATCCTGAATTTGATGCAAAATCTGTAAAACATCATATACACTACAGTTGTTTCAAAAGACTGGTTTATTATGCTATCAGTGCTCTATAACTGATTTCAATTGATGTTCTGAACATTTACAATATAAAATACAACTGATTTNGCATATACACTACAGTTGTTTCAAAAGACTGGTTTATTATGCTATCAGTGCACTATAACTGATTTCAATTGATGTTCTGAACATTTACAATATAAAATACAACTGATTTAGAAGTGTCAGTGGAAAAAAATGATTCAGGAAAACTTCCAACTATTGAGCATCATTAAATCTAAGGTTTAGAAACATGTCCTGATATAATATGGTAAGAAAAGGGTTCAGAAAGTGCACATTAATTTGTATTAAGTTTTGCTCTCAATTTTGACATCATTGTCTATTGTGCATAGCAAATATACAANACAGGAAAACTTCCAACAATTGAGCATCATTAAATCTAAGGTTTAGAAACGTGTCCTGATATAATATGGTAAGAAAAGGGTTCAGAAAGTGCACATTAATTTGCATTAAGTTTTGCTCTCAATTTTGACATCATTGTCTATTGTGCATAGCAAATATACAAAAACAGACATGGCATTCCTGAGTTGTTATATGGAAACTTTAGGAAATGAAAAGCATCTATTTTTTTTTTTTTTCAATCAGTAATAAGAAGTATCTCTCTGAGGTACCACGGAACTGGAATATGGTATGGGTGACTGGGTGTCTTATGTGCCTGATGTTGTGTGCAACCGAGAAAAAGGGTAACACATTTCCATGTAGACATTGTATAGGATGCATTTTTGGACTGTTGTTTTGTTGTTTGCTAGTTCAATAAAGTGAGGTAACCTTGTATCACGACATGAAAACATAATTTCTAAAGCAGTGGCTGGCTACCATCATTGGATATGTGATGGGTTTGGTCACAGAAGGTTCCTTCCAAGGTTGCATTTTTCATATGTGGCATGGGGTATATTCGCACAGCAAATGACCTAGGGAGGAGGGGCTTTCATCTCCCGAATAGATTCTATATGTGTTTGTGCAACTCAGGTTTTGTTATGCTTAATGACCGGGGAGTTGTGGTCGTTGATGTTCTCATTGGATGACATGGCATGGTATATGCTGAATAGATCCTCTATGTGTTTTTTAGCATCATTTTGGGTATTCAAGAACTTTTTTAGGGTACAGAGACATTCATAGAGTTTATAAGTTTATAACAATCCTTTTTTTATAATCTTTTTTTCCATATGAAGGGCTACTATGCTTCAGGCTTTAGTCCCTTTCTTTAAGTTTTTAGAGGGAGCCATCTTAGTTTTTATAGCTCTTGATCACATACTGTGAGTGAGTGACTCTCACTTAGCATCCGTTAATAGACTTTTAAACCTTCATATATTTATAGTTCTTTGGCGCTATAGTCGTTGAGTTGTCCACCCCGTCTCATCTTGATTCAGCTCGCCACTTAGGCTTTTGGGTTAGTTGTGAATAACACATTCAGGAAAAAGAAATCTATTGGGAATGGAGTCAATTATATGTAGTTGTATTACTAGATTGTCTTCTCCCTTACAATCTCTAGCAACCTATTGGCGAATTGCATACTGACTTTAGCTTTCAATCATGTCTTACATTGGAGTGTTTAATAAAACCTAGGATATTTGTCCAAAACAAGTTTCCCATCCTGAAGTTTTAGACTTTTTGATTACTTGCCGGTTAAATAGTTCTTAAGTTCCTCTGATAATGTTAATTATTACATGCGGTATTGTTATTCGATTACACTTACCTTTTTCTTCTGTGTCTATAGGTGGAAACGTCGGTTCTGAATCTGCCTGTGGACAGAATGGATTATTATGTTCCGGGCTGATAGCTAGGAAGAATGATGGGTACTGTTATGTGTGTGAATATTACATCTAGTTATCTTCAAAAACCTTCGAAGCTTAGTTATTGCAGATTGTGTTATGAGTGGTGGGTTTCCAGTTGGTGTTGGTCATGCATTTTGATACCAAGTCCATGGAAGGGAACACCATGTATGGCCTTATTTCTTCTGAACTTCAACTTGTATATGTCCGTCCCATATATGTGAGCTACTTTTGTGGTTTGTAATAATCATGTATTGTTCAGAGTTTGAACAAGGTGTGGCTTGTTATAATACATTTGCCATTGTGAAAAGAAAAATTACCTTGGACAGACTTTGAAGCAGCAATTATACGGAAATTTTCAAACTTTCAGGCAAGCGTAGGCCCCAAATTAATTTTATTTTGGGATGAAATTGTTTTTGTAAGGTGAATTTGGCCTGAGTTGACATTCCTTTTTTGGGAAATTTATAATCTTTGGGAGTTGATATTCGGAAAAGATGAACTGCAATACATTGCTAATGAATTGAACTTTTGGTAGAAGCTAAACTTGACAATGTAACTGAACCTTTTTTCTCAACTTGCTGGGAACATAAAACGAAATCTGTCTTTTAAACGTTCTGAGTTTTGGTAAAGTGAAAAGGAGACCAATTGGCGTTTAAGAAATTATGCAAGCAGCCATTATTTGAGTTTTTAAGTAGAAGTAGTGAATGACCAAAAAAAAAAAGTTGAAGAAGTGCAAAAGTTTCCATGTATCTATCCTGTTAGTGATTGACTTAATAGCCGTTATTCCCGTTGTTAGACCTTAACGTCCCGATTTTGAACTCTATTGTCCCTTTCTCTTATAATAGTATCTGATAAAAAAAAAATGTCTATTCAACTTGATAGCCATCAAATTCAAAATTATATTTTTTTTATATTAGTACAAATGTGGTCTTTTACAACATCACTAAGAAGATTCTCGTATCGTTTCTCAAATACTTAAGTTTAGTTGACATATGTTTAACTTATTATTAGCTGTTATTTTGTGAGATTCACAACATTCAAGGATTAAAAAATCATTTTTGTACATTGTTTCTGTCACCAAAGAAATAGAAATGTCTCGACATTATTTTGCAAACATTTTGAAAACAAAGTGGAAACAAATAAAAATATATATATATATATATATTTCTTTACAAAACATTTGTCAAAATATAATAGAACATCTTGAAACAACTCAAAAATATTAGTGGAATCATTTCGAAATATCTTAAAACACTCCAAAGTATTTTGAAGTATTGAAATTTTGATGATTCAATTTGGTCTCTTTGAAAATTGAAAGTTTGGATTGTTTCAAATATTTTGTAACAATATTTTGATCATTGACGACAATTACAATCTCTCTTCATTGTCACCTCTACCACCAGCATTATTGAAAAAATACTCTTTAATGTGCAAAATAAATTGAACAAATTAAAAGTGAAGTAACCACCAAAGATTATGAAATCTTAAAAGGTGTGGTAGTTAGCATAAAGTTCAATTCGTACCCTCTCTTGATTAGCTTGTTGATTTATTTACTAATAAAGGGGCTTCATAAGCATCGCTTCTAGCTCTTGCGCTCCAAACTTGTCTATCAGCGGCCACCAAGTTTGCATGAGTGTTAAACCGTAGTGTGAACATAATATTTCTTTAGTGTGAACACAATGTTTTATACATTATTTTTACACCGTAATTAGGTAGACAATTATAGTTTCTTTCTATATACTTTTGTAAAATATATATATACCTCTTCTGAGAAGAATAAAGTATTAAAAAAATTTCCAAACCTTTACACAAAGAGAGAGAGAGAGAGAGAGAGAGAGAGAGGACTCCTGAGATGGGAGGATCTGCTGGCTTTGGATTGTGTTATGGGTGGATTATGTTGTCAAACTGGACAAGAAGATGTATTTTTGTAAAATGCATTGTGAGCATTTGAATTATATTACAAGAAGTGATATGAAATTTGGAGCATTGAGTTAAAATTGAATTAAATCTAAACCGTCCTTGTGCTTTTTCAACTTTGGTGTATAATCGGGGGCTGGCTCAATAACTAGGCCGAAGAAGTAGTCGTTTTAGGCCCCTTCTAAAATGAAGGCCCTATTTTTTATAACTCTTAAGTATGATCCAAATCAAAAAATTAAACTGAAATAAACTGAAAAATTTGGAGGTCGCGCCTCCTATATGGACTTAAGCCGCCAAGGATATTTATTTGTTATGAAAATCGTTTTTTTTCAATTTTACCAAACTATTCATTCTCTTTAAAAGTGAAAGTAACAAAAAATTAAAAATTTCTAAATTTTAGGAGTTTAATTAACATTAAAATTTTTTCTCTCTCATATCTATCTATATCCATAAAGGTTAAGACTATATATATATATATATATATATATATATATATATANAACTTATTATTAGCTGTTATTTTGTGAGATTCACAACATTCAAGGATTAAAAAATCATTTTTGTACATTGTTTCTGTCACCAAAGAAATAGAAATGTCTCGACATTATTTTGCAAACATTTTGAAAACAAAGTGGAAACAAATAAAAATATATATATATATATATATTTCTTTACAAAACATTTGTCAAAATATAATAGAACATCTTGAAACAACTCAAAAATATTAGTGGAATCATTTCGAAATATCTTAAAACACTCCAAAGTATTTTGAAGTATTGAAATTTTGATGATTCAATNCAATTCTCTATACTGAAGGCAATGTATATCACAAAAAATGACTAATCACAAAAATGGAAACACCAAAATACCTGAAGTAGGAATAGGAACCAAGTCGTGTCATCTTATACTATGTTGTATTATTTTGAATTCGTGTCAAAAATACCTCAAACTAAACACAACCTATTTAATTAATTGTGTGCATAACCTAACACTAACACCATCTTGTAAAATATTTAATTTGGTAACACATTCGACCCAAGTAATGTTTGGTTCGCACGGGCAATTGCTTTTAATCCAGTCCACCTCCACATGAAGTAAAATATAGTTCAAAACCTTAGTGATCTAATCTAATTGCAAGATAAAAGTCAATTAACAGTCCTATAGGCGCTTGATCAATTGCTACTTACAATGAGCTAATCCAACTGTCATGAGACACAAAAAAAAATCTACATCTTCGTGCCAAGGAAATGTGAATCCAAGCAAACCTTTAGTTTAGTTTTGACGCCAAGAAAAGTCATACAACTGGAGTGAACTCGTTCAATGTCTAAAAATTTAACAGAAATTAGTTAATATCTCATATCTAGAGTAAATTTGTTGACACCAAGGAAACCAACTTTAACAACCACTCAACTCCTCCTACAAAAAAAACAAAAAAATCAATGATTATTTTAATCCCTCCTCCGTACTCTTTCCACATGTTGCTATAAAAATCCCATCCCCTCATCAAAAGCAAAATCTCATACTTTCCTACCTCCCTTCATAACAATTTCCTATAAATCCTTTCATAAATAGATAAAGAAATATGTTGAATGTCCACCACTCAATCTCCCAAATCAGTTGAGAGAGAATGTAATAGATAACAAAATAAAAGCATGTAACATTCATTAAAATACAATGTGTTTTCACTTATCATTTACCAAAAATTATTAAAAATACCATGCAAACAAATGAACTTTTACTTGGATGAAAAATTGCTTCAACAACTCAAAACGGCAATGTTTTCACTTTGCTGTAATTAAGAGTTGTTTCAATCCAAGTAATTCACCTATACCTGATATATTATAACAACAACGTAAAATAACCAAAAAAAAAAAAAAACAACATGATTTAACATATTATCAATTTTAGATGTGGAATTGAAGATGGGAGAATTGTGTATACCTTTATATTTGCACTACAACATACACACAAATTCAATTGCTTAGCATCACCTATATTTTTATGCAACAACAAAACCTTTCTTATCAATAAGTGTTAGGCTCAATGCATATACCAGAAATCTAATTTGAATAAATTTTAGCTATTTGAACCAATACCCAACATATCTATAGCCATTTGAGTTAAAACACATATTTAGGCAAATAAATCAACCCACTGTACATAGAAGGACTTGACAAACAATACATCAACAAAACAAATAGAACATCACAAACATCTTGGCATTAGGTTTTGATTCATATGGTTTAAAGAACACATTGAATTATAGAGAACACATATGGTTAAAAAAATAACATATCGAATTATAGATTAATTATTTCAATTAAACTATTTGAAGCATTTAGTATCTCATACTCAAACTCAAAAAATAAATCACAACACTTTTGTACCCTTGGAGTAATAGATTACTCAAGTGCCCGTGCGCCTCCTCCAAGTTCTTGTGTAGACCTTTGCAGTTATATTGTTGGTATTTGAAGTGGTCAAACGAATAAAACAAATTAGAAATCTTAAATGATGGTGACAGTTCTTTTTCTCCAAAGAAAATTAGTGGAGTGCTTCCCAACCATCATAATTTATGATTGGACGACATAAACCTATGTGAGATGCCTGCCCACACATTTTGTATGTGTTCTATGTTCGTGTGTGTCCGGTAGAAAATCCTAACAAACATCTTTTGCATGTGTTCTATGGTTGGATGGTGGGTAACAGTTGCACAAAAAGCAACACATGAAAGCAAAATTTCAAAAAAAAAAAAAAAATCGAAGCTTTAAGCAAAATTTTAGCATCCCAAAAAAGAATTCAACCTTTAAGCACAAATCAATTTCATGTGTTCACAGATGATGTGATTGCTTTGTGTGGGAACACCGCCTTTGATCGAACACCTTATGGGCGTTGTGCGATGTGGGTGTTCAGAGAGAGAGGGAGATAGATGCAGCGGTAGATGTTTACCTAGGTAATGATGTTGGATGAGCAGTGGCTGCGTGTTTCACAGCAACAAAATATAGAGATTTGGGAGACTAAAAACTTGTCAAATAAAGCAAGTTGAGATTGGATAGAAGACTGATACCTTGAGAGAAGTTCAAAAGTTTTG